AAGTCGTCTGGGCTCTGATCATGTCTGCTCTGGTGTGGAGTGAGACGCGTGTCAAAAACTTAAAGAAAGATTAACACTTAGTCATTCGCAGACTACAACAAAACCAGACTCATTTTGAACCTAACCCGTTTAGACCCGTCAAGCTAATCGCAAACCCCATCAAAATCCTTCTTCTCCAATTGGTCTCTTTCTAGTAACCCATTTTCAAATGGCCTTTTCTCATCTCGATCCTATAAAATCCCCAACAGACCTTCACCAAAAACCATCTTCGTCAGTACTCAAAGTAGCTTGAGTATCATTGAGAAGAGTATATAAGCTCTTTAAATGTTTGCAGACTTGAGTTCATCTGTGAATGAAGCTGATAGTGATGGAGATCATTGTACATGTTAGTGTGGGTCCACAGTCTAATGAAGATGTGGACATGCAATCAACAGGAAAATTAAGCAATTTCTTCTCCTTCTCCATCGCGATTAAAGACAATGTGATGGTTTGAGGTTAAGGCCTAACACAACCTTAGTTAGCTTAATAGACGTTTAACTGAGACGGAGGAACCTAAGAGGGTGTTTGGTTCAATTTCTAGAAATTATAGGAAATGTTTCTCACATAAATATGATTTCCTTGTATTTCTTAAAAAAAATTATAGGAAAAGTTTAGAGAAATCAAAAAGTACCAATTTTATTGTTTTTTGTACTTTGCTTGTTTGGTTCAAAACAAAAAAATGACTCATAACTTTATAGAAAATAACAAGATTTGGTAGGTTTTTAATTAAATATGGTATGTGTCAGATTTCTGGTGATTTCCACTCATTTTGAGAGGAAATTGATTTTTATAAAATTTGGTAGGTTTTGATATTTTATAGAAAATATTTCTGTAAATTTTTTGTTGAACCAAACACAATTTACAGAAATCTCTGAAAAACTTTTAATTACAAATTTGCCATTGTCAGATGTTTTGAGAAAAGTTTTACAAATTTGCCATTGTCAGATGTTTTGAGAAAAGTTTTCTCAAAAAGTGTGCAACCAAACAGCCCATTACTGTAAGCAATGAGATGATTTGAGGACCTAATCGAAGAAATGGGGGACTAATATCGAAATAATCCGTAACTACAAGAACGGGGATTTTAGCGTATCGGTTTGCTCACCCAAACCCGAGGCCGATTAATGAACTTTTGCGAGTGAAAAATAGAAAATTAGGATTACTTGATTCCAGCTCGTGAAAAATACAAATTGTACCTAAAATTATTTTTCCATTTCAAAAGGCAGGAAAACTCTCCAACATTTGGGATGGGATATCTGGTTTTATTTTCCAAGTTCTATTCGCCAAATCAGATTGAAATTAGAAAGCTCATTCCAAATTTAACTTTTATAATTAGACTTCAGTCATGAAATATTATTATTATTATTATTATTATTATTATTATTATTTTAGGAATCACAAGTTATTCTATTACAAAGCGTCAACAAAAATTTGATTACGGATATAGTCTGGACCATCCTTAGCATTTGAAAATGATGTGCATTTATATTTGCTAACATATTGAGCTACTAAGCGTTTGCAGATGTTACTCGAACGCCGAATATGGCTAACATAATAAGAGTTAAAAGGTCTTGAAAGGGCTCCAGCATTCGCCAAAGGTTAATGAGAGGTGATGTTGGTCAGCGATGACTCCATGCATCATGAGCAAAAGGTCAAGATTGTCTAATTCAAAAAAAAAAAAAAAAAGCATTTTCGGGCCATGAGAATGGGCAATATGTAACCCTACAAGGAGGGCATGAGCTTCAGGTGAGGGGGGTGTTTGAAAGTGTTGCAAGAGAGAATGTGGTGGCCTAGGCGATCCCTAGCAATAATTCCAATGGCAACACAATTAAAATTTGGAGGCTGCATCAGCATTAATCTTTATAATGTTTTGGGGGCGAAGCAGACCACAATAAGGACTGAGGGGGAGCAAACATTGAAGAGGGATCCAAAAGATACCGTGCTCGGGGAATACAAGCGAGTGTAAACCTCCACAAGAGCGAGAGTGGTTGCATGAGAAGGATTTATACCTCTTGAATATCACATCACACCTGACATTTCCAAATGAACCAAGAAGCGATGGCCGCGAAAGCGATAGCAAATGAAGAAAATGAAGAAGAAGTTGAAGAAGCAGAGTATTTTCAGTCTTTACAATTTGGTATCAGAGCCCCGCTTAGAGGCCTGATTGAGTGAGTTTGGGAACCGCAGTTTCCTAAACTAGAGAAAACGAGAGGTTGAGAGAAACACTTTGAGAGAGAGAGAGAGAAAATGGTGTATTTTTTTTTCTTGGAGATGGCAAAAGAAGGACAGAACCTGCTGAGTATTCCCAAGTTTGATGGCGATTACGAGCACTGGTCCATGTTGATGGAGAATCTGCTTAGATCAAAAGAATGGTGGAGCCTTGTCGAAATCGGGTACACTGAACCAGCCAGAGGAGAGGTGTTGACGGCTGCACAACAAACAACCCTAGCAGAGTTGAAGCTGAAAGATTTGAAGGTCAAAAATTACCTTTTCCAAGCAATTGACAAGTTCATTTTGAAGACCATTCTTCAGAAGGACACGGCCAAGCAGTTGTGGGATTCGATGAGGAGAAAGTACCAAGGAAATGAGAGAGTCCAGCGTGCACAATTACAAGCTCTTCGAAGGGAATTTGAAGTGCTAGAGATGACAATCGGTGAGACGGTCACTGATTACTTCTCCAGGGTTATGTTGGTCGCCAATAACATGCGTAACCTTGGGGAAGATATGCAGGATGTGAAGATTGTGGAAAAGATATTGCGCACACTCACTGAGAAGTTCAATTATATTGTGTGCTCAATAGAAGAATCGAAAGACATCAATTTTCTTTCTGTGGATGAACTTCAAAGTTCTCTGGTGGTACACGAGCAGAAGTTTCGGAGGAAATCTAGTGGTGAAGAACAAGCCCTAAAAGCTATGGTTGAAGTAGGAAGAGGCATAGGAGAAAGAGGTCGTGGCAGGGGTACTTATAGAGGAAGAGGAAGAGGAAGACAGAATTACAATCGTACCACAATTAAATGTTTCAAGTGTCACAACCTCGGCCATTACCAATACGAATGTCCATCATGGGACAAAGAGGTAAACTTTGCCGGATTTGATGATGAAGAAGAGTTGCTACTCATGTCTTATGTTGAAATGGCTAATGCAAACAATGAAGAAGCTTGGTTCCTAGATTCTGGTTGTTCAAATCATATGACCGGAGATAAGTTGGCATTCAAAGAGATGGATGGATCTTTCCGGCAAATGGTGAAACTCGGCAACAACATGAGGATGAATGTACTCGGAAAAGGGAGTATAAAGCTGAATATAAGTGGAGCAAATTATGTGATTCAGGATGTGTTTTACGTGCCTGAGCTCAAGAACAATCTCTTGAGTATAGGTCAATTACAGGAAAGGGGCTTGGCTATCTTGATTAAATCAGGGATGTGTCGAATTTATCATCCATGCAGGGGACTGATCATCCAAACAAACATAACAACAAACAGGATGTTTGTGTTGTTTGCTCGAGTTCAAGAAAGGAAGGAAGCATGCTTCCAGGCCACTACATCGAATCTAGCACACCTATGGCATTGCAGATATGCTCACCTCAGCCACAAGGGTCTAAAAACACTTCATGACAAGAAAATGGTTCGAGGCCTACCTCAGTTACTGGCATCCACAGCTGTGTGTGAAGACTGCATGAAGGGAAAGCAACATCGTGATCCGATTCCGAAGAAAAGTCAGTGGAGGGCTATTAAAAAATTACAGTTGATTCATGCAGACATTTGCGGCCCAATTACTCCAGCTTCTAACAACCAAAGAAGGTACGTCCTATGCTTTATAGATGATTATTCGAGAAAAGCATTGGTATATTTTTTATTCGAGAAGTCAGAAGCATTTTATTACTTCAAGTGTTTTAAGATGCTAGTTGAGAAGGAGAGTAGTTTGCCTATTATGTGTCTTCGTACAGATAGGGGTGGGGAATTCAATTCTATAGAATTTAATGAGTTTTGTAAATTAAGTGGGATAAAGAGACAATTGACTACAGCTTATACTCCGCAACAAAATGGAGTAGCCGAGCGTAAGAATAGGACTGTCATGAATTTGGTGAGGTCAATATTGTCTGAGAAAAGGGTTCCTAAAACTTTTTGGCCTGAAGCTGTGAAGTGGACAATATATGTGCTAAATCGGTCTCCTACTTTAGCCGTTAAGGAGATGACACCAGAAGAAGCATGGAGTGGTGAGAAGCCTTCTGTAGAACACTTCAGAGTGTTTGGTTGTATAGGGCACGTTCATGTTCCAGATGCTAATAGAACGAAACTTGAGAACAAGAGTGTGAGATGTGTATTACTTGGTGTCAGTGACGAGTCCAAGGGCTACAGAATGTATGATCCTAATGCTAAAAGGATTATAGTGAGCAGGGATGTTGTTTTCGAAGAGGATTGTTTGTGGAATTGGGATGCAAGTCACCAAGATGAAGTAATAAGGGACCTGGAATGGGAAGATGAAGAAACTGGTGCTAATGGAGAGGAAGAAAATGAAGAAAATGAAGAAGAAGTTGAAGAAGCAGAGTATTTTCAGTCTTTACAGGGGGGTTATGGATTGGAGAGTTGGGGGGGTTTCGACCATTGATCCAGTCAGGGAGCGAGCGAGGAAGGAAGGAGTAGGAGTAGCATATTCTATTCCCTGACGACGAGATAGGAGGCGAACCACATTCCCTGTCCCTGTCGGATCTCTGCGATTTCAACACCTTCGTCTCCGATTCAGCATTGGTTGATGGATTTGGGTTACGATGGCCCCGCCTTCACTGGGTCAAACCGTCGTCGGCCTCACCTACACGTCAAAGAAAGGCTTGATCGGAATATTGACATCGGTTGAAGGCTTGCTTTTGCCATATCATCGTCAGGGGATAAAATCAATAAAAAAACCTGCAAATTGGATTGCACATCGATCTGGTAGAGTGAATATTGTACAGTACTTCCCACCCTTTCCCTCATGAATAGGATAATTGATATTAAGATTGTTAAAAGCCGATGAAAACGAGGTTTCATACTTGTCACCGCTAAAATAAGTAGACCATCATAATAATATCAAGATCTTCAGGCATTTACGCCAGACATAAAAGATATGAGACTGCACTTCCGATGCTAGACTAAGGTAAAAAAGAAGAAAAAAGAAAGAAAGAAAACCCTCTCTCATTTGGATCTTAAATCGAATTCTATAAACAAGATTACTCTTTTTCATCGCCAAACATTTTGATAATTCACAAGACCCGAAAATGATATTTAGGGTTCTTAAACTAAACTGGGACTTTGGTCATCACATGTACAAGCTCATATTTACAATTAACTGAAAGGAAACATAAACAACAATTTGATCATATACATTGAAAGCAGGCAGAAACGAGTTAAAGATCCAAGACCCACTGGGGATAAGACTGTATCGAACTGCATGGACCTGCATAAAAATAAGAGAAAATGATTTATCCAAAATATAACCCACAAATACATTCTAATTATGGAATATAAATTAGAGTAGCCAACTGAATTACTGATTTTCAGAAATTGGCACTTCACATAAACTGACTTGCATAAGAAATTACATTGAATATGTGGGTGTGTGTAGCTCCGATACTAGTGGATACTAGTTGTGTCATTTATCTCCAACACCAATATAGAACTCTGATCAATGCCTAAATTAAAGCAATCAACAGCTTGTCCACCACAAGATGCAAGAATGAAGAGCCAAACAATTAGATCCTCATTCATAACCTGCAAGGTTTCAGGATAGATCCACATTCATCGGAAAGGTGACCCTATTTCCTGAAGAAAAAGTTTTGTGACTCCCATCAAAACAAAAGAAACCTTCGTTTCGTTAAGAAAACATATCCAGGTTTGATCTTGAAGGACAAAACCAACACCTTATTTTCAGATAAGCTTTTATTTCTTAACTTGGGAAAATTTATAAGAAACCATTATCCCAATATTGAGTTGATATATGTAAACCATTTTTTCTCCATTTCCTACATAATACTGAAGTTTGAAAACTCAGTTATGGCATTCAAGTTTGATATATTTCAGTCGGTTTAACAAGTTGCACTCCAAGTTTTAGCTTGGATAACAAAATTGATATCATGTTTCAGTTTCAACCTAGAAGCATGAACACTTCAATGTGCTATCATGTCTCTGTGCAAAGGGTATCTAAAAATAACTTCAGGTACCACATAAAACAGACTTACAAGAGTGTCCTCAATCTCTTCTCTTCGTACCCTATCCGTCATAGATGAACCTTACTGGTGTAAGACAAAATTCTTTATGAATACAATTGTTTCATAATGTGTATCACGTGTCTGTTATCACGACAAAATGAAAAACTATGCATATACCCTTAACTCTTGTATTTCAATACTGTGACAGCCCTCCACTTGTTGAACATTTTCTAAGCATCAATAATTTTATTAGATAACTTAGTAGATAACTTAGTTAACAATAGCGAACATGTATTTCCCTGTACATCTAAACTTTGTCGTATATCTGTCTATATTCATTTTCTTTAAAGCACCGTTAACCTCAGCAATCCAAACTTTTTGATAGTAGTTCCTACTGGTATTATGTTGTTTGATCCTATTATATGCTTTATGTAGTCATCATTAAATTCTATAAAAGCAATCTCCTTTGCCTGTATCTAATTTCATCATCATTATGGCGAACATAATGTTTACAATTCCAAAGAACAAATGCCCCTATCATGTCAACAAGGTGAAGATCGATAACATCTGTGACGCAACAATCTATATATGCTCATACCTGCAAAAAGAAAATGGATGCATGTTACCTGAACTGGGTGTCTCCCTATTGGCCTTATGCTTCTGCAGCATCCCAACTCTCTAGCATCATTTATTGCTGATATATGTGGATATCAAATGGAATGCATACTTCTTTCGTATCATTCAGGATCCATTTATTGATGATATGTGGATATCAACTGGGAAGCATACTTCGAGTTGTATCATTCAGGACCATTAAGACCTATTGTTGTTTGCCGTAGTACTTCAGATGTCCGATCAAGGCCATGAGACGCAACCTACATTATGTAAGAAAAGAAAATTTCAGATAAAAAAAACTAGAACTCACAAAAGTGGAAAACATATTAAAATCATAAAATTTGAAAAACATTAGTATTCATTGTTCAAGGTAGCTATTGATATCAAGTAACCTGTATGACTACCATATCAAACCCAGGAGGTCCTAATCTATGTCCAATAAAACTCCCATTGCAAGAAAATGCTTTCATTAAACAAAAATCATATGAAAGTAGAAGTTAAATCTATTCACCAAATACGTAAGAGCTGCATATCGCTCCTCATTCAAATACAGAGGTCTTCCTCTATGCATGTCACGATCCTGCAAAAAGAAGTATATTAGAGAAGGGGGAAATCTCAGCCAAAGAAACAGAGAAAATGGATACATTGAGGATCAACTTTAATGCTTAAGAAGACAGCCAAGCATATAAGCCAATTATGAACCAAGAGACAATGAGAAACTAATTCAATTGTTTGTTTCATTAGATGTAAGCTAATATATAATATGTTTGAAACAATAAAAAAAATATTAACCTAGTCTACAGAGACCAATTTAATTTCTTCATAACAACCACAAATACATAATAACGCTACAAGTGGCTACAGTTGTTTTTAGAATAAGCAATTAACATTTCATTTATATAAAGGGACAACATTACAACCATCATACTCCCTTTAAAAGTACGAGTTCAGAAAAATCTTTCTATGGCCAATATTAGCCTTAGGTTTTTTTGAATATTACATTGTTATCCTAATCTATTCTAATTATCTTATCTTCTTTGAATTGGTAACCAAATGATTTATTCTATTCATAATGAGACTTAACATGTTATTTGATAAAATAGATATGTTTCATATAATTCAAATCATTTACTTAATTTTGTTCGTAGTGGAATCTAAAAAACATATGCTAGCCAGCACCTAAAAGTTTTTGGACTTTGTAAAAAATATTCTCCAAGTTTTTTAAATTACAAAAACACCCCTACAAATTTAAAAGTTTATTAAAGCATCTTGAAAATTATAAATTTTACTTATCTCAATTTAGTGAGAAATCTGAAAAAATATATGCTAACTAGAAAGTGAAAGTTTTTTGACTTTGATGAAAATATCTTGTAAGCTTTAAAATTATAAAAACACCCCTAAAATTTAAATTTTATAAAAAACACCTTGAAAATGTCAAATTTATAAACATACTAAAAACCTACAAATAACAAAAACAACCCCAAAAATTTATGAAATTTGCAACACACTCTAAACTTTTTACAAATTACAAAATAAAACCCTCAAAATTGTAAAATTTATAAAAATCCTGATAATTTATGACCTACCAGTACATTAAAAATATAGGAATTATAAATATCCCCTACATAATTTATAATTTATAGAAAACACCATTAAAAGTTTTAAAAATTACAAACAAACATTTAAAATTAAAAATTTACAAAAAACACCCTAAATTTTTCAAATTTATTAGTAAATTGAAAGCATAGGAAGTATTAATAGTCTATAAACAATTTATAATCTATAGAAAAGGTCTATAAGTTTAAAAAATTACAAAAAGTCCTTAAAATTCATAATTTATAAAAAAAACTCCATGAGAATTTCTAACCTATTAGACACTAAAATGAATATGCAAAATTACTAACCACCCCTAGAAAATTAAAATTTTGTAAAAATATCATACACCTTTTAAAAGTATAGGTTTAGAAAAAACTTTTCATGATAAATATTACCCATAACTTTTTTTAAAAGATCATAACTAATTGAAAATCTATTAAATTTAAAATTTATAAAAAAAATACCCTTAAAGTTAAGTATATTGCAAATTACCCCTCCCAAGTTTAATAATTTTTAATAATTTTTTTTGTAATTCCTTGATTTCAATGTAATGTTTAATAGTTTTGTGTATTTGTAAATTACAAATTTTAAGGTGTTTTCACACTTTTTAAAACTTTTGCGGGTGTTTATTTTGTAGTTTTCCAAATCTTCATTGTGTTTTCAGTGTAATGCACATATACATCAATTAATGATGATATTAAAGAATAAGTCCTTTTTAAAATTATTAGATCATAGTTAAGTGTACACATCACTATTCGTAGGCAGTATAGTTTATATATGCAAAAAAATTCAGACAATCTATGTAGTGGTTAAATTTTTTGACTTTAATGTACTATTTTTTACAAATTATATTCAATGTGAACCCACCATATAATTTCGACTGTGATCATTATAATTTTAATACGTTTGATTGATTGGCTATATACGTATATAGACCATAAATTACTTTACTTTCTCACATGAGCTAACATTTGGTGCTTAATAATTTAAATATTACTTTTAAATTCAATATAAAAAGGAGCTCTAATAATATTTATTAATTTACCAACAACATAATACAATCTCAATTCTTATTTTTTGCTGGAGATTTATTCTATAGTTACGTGTATCAAATTAGTAACTAAAATAATAATTATTTATGTTTAAATTAGGATAACTGTAGTTGGTCACTCACTATAATATTTTTATGAATATGTATACCTTACTTTCTATAGCTATCTACATTGCCCATGTATATTTTATAAATTAGTTCTTAATTTGACATATTAAATAATTTTTCATTTGTAGAAATTTCTCCTTTGATTTTTAGACTGTGTAATCACTATATCACCATTCTAGCATAGAAAGGAGTCAAAGGACTTCACTCTAAATGGCTTCAAGCCAATGTTTGAGTTGCACTGAAGTATACTATTGTTACTATGTGTATATACTTTATAAAAAAATCATGTCAACACTTTTTAAATATAAGAGAATATTCTAACCTCTGATATTATAAAAACTAAATATAGCCAATTGAATAATTAGCAAAGAGAACTTACATCAGAAAAATATGAATAATAAGATAAAGAGGAAAGGTAATGGCATTACCAATAATACTACATATAGCAAAATACAATGTAAAGTTAACCTATTTTGTGGAGCCCAACTACTGGCTATAAGTATCGAGATTTCTATATATATACTTTATAATTTATTAAAAATGATCATATAATTTTCTATAATAAAATTAATTTAATATTCAATAATAATATCATTGTAATAATATCATTATTAGAAAAAATTCTTCATGAATCAATATGCTCTTTACGATATATAAGCTATGCACTCTAAATTCTTGTCTTTGATAGAGTCAAAAAATTTGAATACGAGCATCTAACATGTTGCTCTCACAACAGCAAAATCCACTTAGGAGATATGAATATTCTAGATGAGTTATGTATCCTATATACAATACAATTGTCCTAAGCAAGTGAGTTATAATAGCATTTTACATTCACATCGTTTGGGATAAGATTTGATAGGGACCTTGCATCAAAGAATTTTTTTTATATATTTAGAGCACATGGTGAAATATATCATAATCTCCCTGTTCTAATATCGTAAGAAAATAATTTTTCATACTTTTAATTTTGCTTATATGATACAGAGAATAAGCTATAAAATTGAATGAGAATATTAGATAATATAAATATAAGCGAAACATCAACTAAAAATTAACATGAACATGAGACAAACCACAACTAAAAGTTTAATGGACATATTACAAGTAAATTCATATGTAATATTCTTTTGCGAATTGAATGATCACCCATCTTTTGAAAACTTCAAGATACTAATAAATAGAGATATTGTATTAAATTAATGTGTTTATAATTCATAAATAGTAGATCACGTAGTCACAGTTTGGGTTAAAGAAAATAATGATAATATTTTATTTGAGAGAGAGATTATTGAGTTGATGATCAATCCCACAAAAAAACTTTGTTTTCTTTTTTTATTTTCTCTATTTTTATCAATTTAAATAATCGTGACATTCAACCACGTGCATATCAACTCATGATATTCAACCACGTGCATCTCAACTAGTACACATGAAAGTATCACTATATAATTATATATATCATATATATATATATATATATATATGAAAAAATGGGTATGTTTCGTGGTACCAAAGCAAAATTATCTGGTGGTTGGGATATATAATATCATAATATATATATATTATATATATATATATATATATATAGAGTAGAAGAGAGACGACGAGAGAATGCTTCGGTACCAAGCATAAAGTTTTGTGCTTCGCGTAGTGAGGATGTCCTCATTCTCATCCACTCATTCAAATGGCGCGGGACCACAATTCCATGGTTACAGAGTGGAATGAGATGAGCGACACCTCGACTACCAAACACAAAATTGCGCTTGGGGGGGGGGATGTACCAACTACCATTTTCTTTAATTATATAGTATATACTATTATATACTATAATTATATATATATATATACTATACACTGACTATATTATATAATATATAAAAATAATACATTTTCGCGATTCAAACACTAAACACGTTACCTCTTCACCAAAAGCATCCAAATAGGGAGACGGCCAGGCTGACTCGCGCAAAGATCTCTGAAGAAACACTGTGGTCCTCTGTAATCCATATCAAAGTCCACAATTGTAAATGATTGTAGAGCCAATAAACAAAATTTAAGCCTAAAAACATGTTGGCCTAGAAGTTAATCTGTTCGATGGTGCAATATGTGTACATACCCGGATCAACAAAAATACACCAATACCGGCACCGCAGACTGTTGCATGATTCAGGCATTTACTTGCCCTTTAAGGAATAACCGGCATGTCAGGTGAACAGATATATAAGCATAAAATACATGAGATCCAAAATTGATAATAATATTCTTATCTCGGAAATACTGACCTGCAACAGGACTTCCAATTTGGAGAACATAATCTGCTACAAAGCAAACAGAGTGCAGGTTCCTCCGGGACAGACTTGCAATTGGAGCACTGCTGCTTTATATACCTGAGATAGCAACCGTTAATGATCAGTAAATGCTAGAGACAAAATAATATGTGTGTGCATGTATAGTGGTAACATGTTTCTAAAATAATCATTTGTAACCTTTGAAGTAGATCCTGATAGAGGCGAGGTAACTGAATCAACTTAAAAGGAACCGCAGGCGTGGAAAACAAAACAGTCCTGTTATTACGAACACTGAACTCCTTGCAGAAATGGTTACACCATGTTACAGCTAAAGAATGCATGAATTCATTCTCGAGAACAGATTCTAGAGAGTGGATTTGAAACATATTTTCCAACTCATTTACTCCATTTAACTCTTCAGTGGTGACACTATCTAATACACTGCCACTAGCGCAAGGATTTGATTTCCACATGCAAGAACTTTCAAATAGTGGGCCTGGCATTGAGGATTCTAACATTTTACAGAGTAACGCACACCTTCTAAGATAAGGAAATGTCAATCGGCGGATCATATCCTTGGGATGGCATGATATGTCAATATAGTTGGAAAGAAAATACTTCCTCACATAGTCACATTCTCCCATCATCTTGCAGATATCATTAAGAACACCATCACCGAAACATGAAAAATCAAAATGTTGTTCGTTATAGCATGTGACTAATGCCTGCAAAGCAGCAAATTAAAAATTACAAAAACATGAGCATAAATGAAGACAAATTTTGGAATTTAAATTTATAAATGGTAGTTTCTAAACGAATATGTGCATTTCCATACCTGGACAACACAAACATAATAGAAAAGGTGAACAAGGGGGATAAGGAATTCACTAGATGATATAAACGGAGAAGGAAGACAAAATAGAGTCCAAACTAGTGAAGAAAAGGGATCATGAGCTAGGATAGGATCGGCAACTCGTCCAAAGAACAGAGTATCAGGAAAGCTTTCCCCCTTGTCTGCATGTCCTGAAAAAAGAAAGATGTGGCAGAAATATGAATATCCGTGCATTTTTTATGTACAATTATTCAAAAGAAATGAGCAAACATTTCCCTCCAAATCTCAAAAATTATGAACTTTCCCACTAAAAAATTTCTACAAATTGGTCACAACTAATAAGAAAAATATGGCATGCAAAGCCATGGTTATGAGGCAATATTGCATGCAATGCCAATACATCAGTTAATAGTACCTCACACTGGCCTTTAGTCAACTGGACGCGAATCCAGCATAAACATGACAAGTTTGCAAAGGAAGAAAAGGTGCATGCAAATAAACATAATTTAATTGTTGATTTAAAAGATACCCTTTTTATAGGCTTAACACATTGGAGATGACTCTTCGTCACTACAGCACACTCCAATGGGAGTTTGACGGGTAACTTCTACAGCTGTTTCCAAATAATGGCACCTAGCTATAATACGATTCTTGCAGTATTATAACTGAAGTGAAACTGTGCTACTTAGTAATGCTTGATCCATTTTACTTAGCTGCATTACTTGCTAGTTGCGGTGCACATCTTCTCTTTAGTATTTTGTGCCATCTGAATTCATTGTTCTGGAATGAATCTCTCGGCAGCAGTATCCGACAATATCCAAAGGAAGTCTCATCACACATGCATACGCACACTTTTGCCACGCACAAGCGCGCACACAAATGAAGCCTTCATGTGCGAAGCCTTCTCTTAGGCACTTGTGGTCCACTCACCAACAGCTACGTTGATTTCCCTCTCATTCAACCCTAACAATAAGCTACGCAATGACACTTAAATGAATAAAATAAAAAATAAATAAAGCAGCAGCGCATAAGATTAACGTTTTAATCTAACAGGGTTGACATCATTTGATGAAAATGTAAATTCCATCTATATAAACTCATCCAAACAACATTATTCTCAAGAGACACTTATGCTTCATTTACTGCAGGTGATGTACGATTCCCCAAAACGACATAAATTACATTTTTCATTATCAATATTCTCAGGATACACTTATTTCCTTCTTATTCTATAAGTTGTCATTGGTAATATGTCTCCTACACTTCAAAGCTCCTTGACCACCAACAGCAAGAAAAGGTAGAGAAAAATACAGCACAAAAAATTTCCTAAATATCACCTGAAAACAACCTCAATCTTCAGATATTAGCAAATACAGGTCTAATAATTCTGAATGTACTACAAAGACCAAATAAAAAAAGTATTAGAATGTAAACATAGAAAGCAACCACATACTCAAAGTATCAAGGCCTTCCTCTTTCCCGTCTCACATACAACATTCACTTGAACTAATTGTTTGATAGCAGATAATTGCGTTCCACATTTAATCAGAAATTCTTAGTCAAAAAGGAGAAGAGAAATTACTGAAAAGCGTTCTAGAACATTAACATAAAGAGACCTTGGAATTTGACCACTACTAGAGGGAAACTGTCAAGATGGAAAGATGACATGTGAGAAAAAATACTATCACATAAAGTGGGTTACTGTTTTCCTTCTTAAATATAATAACACTACCATCACAATACCAGCTTACATCAGAATGTCGGAAAATTTTAGCAATTTAAAGGTCAAAAACCAACCTCTAGACGCCAAGAATCTATGTGTATGCAATATTTCACAGAAGCAAAATGTTCAATATATTAGAATACACTGAAAACATAGAAAACTTCATATTATAGCTCCACTTGTTTAGCAATATAATATCAGAAAGAAAGTGAAATTCAGTTTACCTTTTTTCTCATCCGAGATTGAGGACTTGTCTCCGGACACACCAAAGCAAATCGAACCTGCTAATAGTTGGATACCCCTGAATCTAAGAAGAACATCATGCTGACTTGAAAACCGAGCAGTCTGAGCAATACTCAACAACAGTGAAAGAATAAATTCATCAGAACCAAGTTCAGCATATAAAGCCTCTAAAGACAATGAACTGGACAAGCACTTCTTCGGCTTCCCACGAGCAGCAATTTCTGTCGATACAAGGGTGTACATAAAAGTGTCCCACAGAATGAGAGATTGATGAAGTCTCCCAGAGGCTAGGAGATTATCATAACCGGGAACAGAATAAAGCATACACAATTTACGGAATGCAGGCTCTAGAGCTGATTTAACATTTACATTCTGCTTTCCGGAAAGAGCTTTCCGGAACCTGCCATGTCCAACAATTTTGGCCGTGCTTTTGAGGAGAGATAAAGCAAGAGATAAAGCGACTGGAAGATTCTCCTTTGGACTCTCAATGGGCACAATCCGTCTCACAAGTTTATTAGAGATTCCAGAAGGGAATGCAGGCAAGATTGAATTTGCAAACCTGCGGCATACTGGGCAGAGCAGCTCTCCCTAGAAGGGGTATGGACACATATAACTCACCCAACAATTGAATACCGAATGAGTAACTTTCGTGGTAAAGATAAATGTCTTACCAGATCTGGATCCACAATGTGACCTCCTTCAAAACCAAGTCTTCTCAGGTGCCTGTATTCAGAAAAGAGAAATCAAGATCTCAAATTAAATAGATACAGGACCAGAATCATTTAGCAATTGCCGTATTTGAGCTAAACCACAGTAGGAGAAAAAACTAGGTCATATACTAGTCAACGAATACTATGCTCCCTAAGAATCCCATGCAGAAAGCGTTTAATGAATTTTTATAAACTGGTCAACTAGTAAGGAACTAGTTAATAGATCAGACTAAGCGATGGAAACTAAAAGAATACCAACCAGTCACATTAAAACCTGTCATATCTTGCTGGTTGATCGCAACAAGAAGTTCATTAAAAGACGATAAACTTCTGCCATATTAACTACGACATGGGCTAACTTTTCTTGAGCTAACCAGACTGCAACATTCTTCAAGAACTACGTCTTTTATTTTAATTTGATTCAAACAATGATCCTCATGAAATTAACATATATTAGATACTTCCAAACAATATTTTCAATTATTATCCAAATAATGAAAAAATAAAATGAAGAGAAAGAAGTATCATTTCTATTACTTCAAAGAATATGTGAAACAAACAAAAGAAGTGATACTTCCTACTTCATAGTTTAGGAAGTTACTTCATTAATCTACTTCCTACTCCTAATACTTCCGTTAATCCAAATGAGGCCTAAGATGAAACTACGTATTCTTAATTTCTCTGCTAGGGATATATAGAAGGGGTTTTTGCTTTTAGACCCATTTGTTTACTCCCATTTATTTTTAAACCCAAGCACTATTATTTGTATCTTTAAGCCCAATTCACCTTTTGTATTTATCTTTAAACCCAATCTTCAAAATACTATATTTTCATCACCTGTTTTTATATTTTGGAGATTGGGTTTAAAGATAAATACAAAAGGTGAATTGGGTTTAAAAATAGAAATAATAATGCTTGGGTTTAAAGATAAATGGAAGTAAACAAATGGGTCTAAAAGCAAAAACCCCTATATAGAAACCTGTAACATGACCTTTTGCATGTGTGTTGTTCAAGCATCTCAAGCTGGTAAGTGGTGAATCTCAAATGGTAACTGTCAAAATGTAACAAGCGAACCACTAACATGAACCAGAGCAGGGAAAAAGATAAAAAGAATGCCCATACAGACTGGTGCATCGAGTATTAACAAAATTATGAATAGAAAAAAAGGCATCCAAGAGAAGAGTAAGCATACCTTCAACTAAATTATACGGCAGACAGAATTTACAATACATGCACCCCACAAGAATTGAAGATAGCATATGGCTTCCATTAGGAAAATTTACTGGAACAAA